GTATGAAAGTTTATTTTTAAAAAGAATTATTACTAACAACTACAGAAAATCGTATCAAATTACTGGACATAAAAAAGTGAAGAAAATCAAAATTTAGATAGTAATGACTGGAAGATATAAAAGAAAAAAACTTACAATTTCAGTATAAACCAAAAAAATAATTAAACTCATATTTCTCAAATATTTTTTTATAAATAGTCTCATTTTTATGTGTTCACCACTGAGGCGGCTTTTCCTATAGACTTTTTGAAAAGTATATTTTTTTTGTTAGAAGAAATATTTTTTTTGATTGCAAACTACATTATATATATATATTTAAAAAAATTGAATAAAAATATAGGTATATTTTTATGGAAATATCTATATTGCGATATATTGATATTTTTCAACATATCCAATTTTCAACCAGGGACCAGAAAATGAAAAATAGGGCATGTAAGCAAAAATTATTTTTGAAGAAATAAAAAAAAGAATTGTAAACAGAGAAACATAACAAGGAGATTGGGATGGCCAACAAAGAGGGCAAAGGACTTCCATTTTGAAACATCATATTACGAAACGTAAAAGAAGAAAAATAAGTTTGCCAATTAGGGTCAGAATAGCTTCCTAACCAGATTTGTAACTTGTTATTCAAAATATAAACGCAAATGGTCATTTCTATTCTGAGGATAAAATGTTTGCTTGTCTACTGAAGTTTTATACCTCCAATAGTGATAAAGTAATATTATTAGTATTAATTGAAAACAAATATGCTTTAAAATTGATTGAATTGACAGAATAATATAAAATCAGTGATGAATAACTAACTGATGTTTTACATCACTAAATGCAGTCAACGATAAATACCCATTTTGAAATAATTCTGATATTGATTTCGCATTACCTTCACAGAACAAATATAGGACTTCTAAAAGATTATCTTAATTGGTATTAATTTAGATATTAAATTAGAAACTGGTAAGCTAGTGAGTTCCATTAATACGGTTACCCTTAATAACTAATAAGTATAAGAGCTCATAACAATTTTACTGATCATCAATTATGATTTCAACTTTATGACTTTTGAAATGGACAAACTATTTCAGTATATATCATTGAATTAAACATGGTATTTATCTATCACCTACGATAAAATGCTGAAGCAAGACTTTTCTTAGCACAATTTTTTGGGTATCTATTCTAATCGGATGATAATGGTAGTTTTCACTACATACCCTTATTGATCAAATATGATCAGGAGACTTGAAACAGAGGTCATTTGAAAAAAAGATTTTGAAGATCACATAACACTAAAAAATAGTTCTAAACCGTCTATAGTCCAAAATTAAATTTTCCCAATTTTTTGGAAAGAATAGAAAATAAATAAATAATATGCCTGCCATATTTTTTGATTCTCTTTTCTATCATGTACTTTTCTGAGATGCTGTTTCTGCTAAGAGTCAAAGCGGTCAACAAGTCCCTATATCTAGCTCATTATATATACTATACTTTACTTTCTACTTTTATTTTTTTATGTTTGGGGTTCTGTAATTTTGTATTGACCAATACCGTTTCTCAGTGATCCACCCCTCTAATATTTTCATTCCTCATAATCATCTTTTATCAGGGTTTAGTTATAATCTCACTTACGTTTCGACTAATTTCGAGGTTTTCGACACATTCGAATTTTCTCTGTGTAGTACTTAAGCATTGGAAGGGGACACTGCGTTTCACCTATTTTCATTAGTTGCCCATAGTACATCGTTCATCATTCACTGATGCCATTTTGATTGTAAAGTTCAGCTTTTACTCTATTTCTTTATTTATAGCTTCTTCTAAAAAATCCATTAATTTAAAATAAAGTTGGTCCAATAATTTATTTACCTAAAATAAATTAGGGACAATAATTTATTTGCTTATCCCTTTAATTCTGATCCAAATAAATTTGAACCAATAATGAAGGAATTGTATATTCTGTTTCGATCTATTATCTATTTGTCATTTGTGATTTTACTTTTTATGTCCACTTGCTCTGTACCAAGCCTATTTTCTATTTTCACTCCAAGAGTATGAAATCATCAGTTTGTGAGAACGTCCAACATCAATGCAGAGATTTAAGAAAGAGTTTAAAGGTAGGTATTCCATTCAAAGTTAAACAAACGTCAAGTAATTTAAGTACTCTCCAATCGGATGACTCTCCTCCGGGATAGCTAGGCTGTCCGAGATCCCTCCACTCCAAATATGAGAGCCCCGCCAAGCTGCTGGAGGCAACTCACACCGATCAGGCTAGGAGATAACCCTATCCCATTTAACTTCATCAGAAATCGGTATGTAGTTGTCCGAAGTGTCAATAGCCCCCAGAGGTTTGTTTCAAGGAAATAAATATAGGCCCTTGTGCGCCTGCGATCCTGAGTAGCCATAATCCATGGATCTTGAACTATTTGTCTAGGTTCTTTAACCTAAGTGAGTTAGAGGGAAGGATGCTACCAGAATGGCTCCAAAAGGATCGACTATGGAACTATCGACATGAGTTATGGTGTTCCCTCCATGGAATCTGTACTCTCCCAAGCAATAAACGTCTGTATGAAGACCACATCTTGTGGCAAAATATTTATATAGTCTATAGCGCCAAAAAAAACATAATAAAGAAATAAAGAAAAATACAATATACATATGCTGAACACCTGGGACAGATGACAATTATGCCACTACCTTTCCCACAAATACAGTATGATTATAAGAAGTTAAGAATGTTTGATGAGCAAAGAATTAAACTACAATAACGTTTCATAATTTAAATTCATGAAACAAGAAAACTTAAGACAATAACGAAAACACTTTTTGAATTCTAATATTCATAAGTTAATGTCTTGAAATAGCTTTAACAAAATTTATTGCTAATCTGTTATCATAATAAACATTATTCCAAAATATACTTTTGTATGTCCTAATACGATGAACATTATTTAAAAAAATAAAATAAAAATATATACTTCTTTATATATCATCACATTCCTTAAATGTTAAAAACCATAAAATAAAAACAATGGAAATTAACTATACATTACTAAAAATGATATTATTATTTAGAAAGTTAACTGTAGTTTTGGCAGCCAAAGATCTAAAGAACTAAACCTAAATAAAAATAAAAAATTGTATGTGTATATATATAAACTTTTTTTTTTTCCGTTGGCTCTACAGACCTTGTAGATCTTTGGCCGCCTGAACCAGCCTTCTCCGCCTCTGCCTATCTTGGGCTACTGTTTTCCAGTTTGCCGCATGAAGCTCAGCCGTATCTTTTTTTATCCTATCTATCCATTTGATTTTAGGCCTCCCACATGGCCTACTACTCTGGCATTCATTGTTGTGTAAAGGCATCCTGACGGATTGCTTCGAGCTACATGCTCCACCCATCTTAATCCCCTTGTCTTCATATCATGAGATATTGATTGACCAGTTTCTTATAGCAGTTCTTTCTACTTCCTCCTCCTCTATGTGTTGAGGTTCTGATCCCATATAGGTTCTGTTGTCATATGGAAGACTTTTCTTTCGAATCTCTCAATTCTGCTTTCTAGGGTGCCAGTTAGAGCCACATATATATATGTATGTATATGTATGTATATATATATATATATATATATATATATATATATATATATATATATATATATATATATATATTTAAACATACATATATATATATAAACCTACATACATATATCTACAATAAAATAAATAACTTTTGGGAGATTTCAATGTACACTCAACTTACAGAATCGAAACGATGTGACTCATTTTTTCTGTTCATCAGCACAAGAAATATATTTTAGGTTAAAATTATTGTGACGAATAGGTAAAAAAATGGTTCTGGAATTAGTGACGGATAAGGAGTCATTTTCCCTTAGCAGAATTTAGTGGGTGGCAAATTTATAAAAAAAAAAAGAAATTTTACCTAAATTGAAATTATTTTTAAATTTTTCATTTTTAATTTTGTTTGCTCCAGTTATTTCTTCTTATTATTTTTTCCCCTATTAACATTAGTATAGATATAACAATTTCTTTATTTTTTTCATTAAATAATCAATATGATACAACAAAGGCAAATTATATTTTATATGTATAATATACTTAATGTAATATACTTCAAACATCTATTCTTCTAAATATATAGAGTTTGTTATGAAAATGTATGATATATTAGAAAAATTGTGTATTAGGATATATGCAGTGAAGGAAATTGTCATGTATTTGCAATGTTCACAACATGAAGAAAAGTTTATATAGACTAAATTAATAAAAATAAAATTAATAAAAAAAAAACCTTTCTATATTAAGGAAAATGTGTCAAATCTGTGATGATAGTACATCTGTATATCTTAACTATTTTTCTATGAACCATGTAAGATTCATAAATCTTATTAGATTCATTTATAATAAGCTATGTTTCCACAATTTTTCTGTTATTCCATTTAATTTATTCTTACTTATTGTACATTGGTATGAATAAACTCCTGTATCACTATTACTAATGTTCTTGGTTGTGACAAAAAGTAATATTACTCAATAAAGAAATATAATTTAGCCTATTGCAATTCCAATAAATATATATATATATATATATATATATATATATATATATATATATATATATATATATATATATATCCGTATCAGTATATGTGATAAAAAAAATTGATTATACACAGTTGTTGAACATGTTTAACAATTGAAAAAATGAATGTTTTAAAAAAATAATGTATGATTACACAACATGGCAGAGATTCAGTATTTGATAAAGAAGTACATTTTCTTGACTATTTCTTGATATAAGGATCTTTCCTCGTACAAAAATCTTCAAAGTACAGGGTCCACACTCTGACTTACATTAATTTTTAATTAATAGAAAATATAAATTTTTAAAAATAAGTTTGTTTTATAAAACATTTTCATGTAATTTATCAGTTTCTTTAATAATATTTTAGATGAATTATTAAATAAATATATACATATTTTTTTTTTAGGATTTTAGTGAAAGTTTTCAAATCCTCCATGCAGGAAGAGCTCTGAGAATACTACGGCTGGCTAAGTTGCTGTCACTTGTGCGCCTCCTTAGGTTATCCAGGCTGGTCAGATATGTTAGCCAATGGGAAGAAGTATATGTAAGTATATTAATCATGATTTTTTATTTTTTCGCTATTTTCAAAACATGGATACACGTGACACAAAGCTTTATAATTCTGCACATAACAGACAAATCTAATTTTCTGAAACATCCATAAGGACCATAGTTTTTTTTTTAATATATATAACAAATACATTTCTTACATAATTTGTTTATAAAAATAAATTATACCACATTTCCACACTATTCTATGAGATTATTATTTTAAAACAAAATATGTGAGACATATTTTTTTTTTAATTTCTAATTTATTTTTCTACTTAAAACTATAATACGAAAAATAGAAACTAAAAATTAAGGATGTTTCACATAATAACTTGTTTAAATACAATGAATTAGTTAAGATTTTAATATTTATTTAGATTTATTAATTAAAACTAAGCATCTTGTTTTTAAACAAAGTTAGCGCTTGCCTGATATTTCTCATTAATTTAATGTTTGTTTGTTTTTTCTGATTCTGTTGTACAGTTTCTTTAAACGCACAATTAACATTTCTACGCTGCCTTAATGCTTGCATTATCAGCATCATAAAAAGGAATAATGCGCAGGGTTTTAACATACTTATACAATACGCTAACTCAAATTTTAATTTTAAGCAAGCAATTCATTTCTTTATGATTTTATATAACCACATAACCCTTTACACATATAACAATAGATGTTTTAAATACTTTTATATGAATATTTTCAGATATTCTTTATTATTGGTATTAGTTTATGTTTGGACTCGACTAAGATGACTTCAGGATGACATCAACTAGGATTTGCCTAGTTTTATAAAAGAGGTTTAGAAAGCTGCATTTGCGAACTTACTTTTGTAGTAGGGTATTGTTTGTTTATACTGAAACAAAACTATGATTAGGAAGAGGTCGTAGCTTAAACTGCATGTATTTATTATACATTGGTTTAATGATATTGTAAAGGAGAAATGTTCTTATTTACTAAAAGCTTTATATTAATAAATTAATTAATTAATATTAATTTCATATTTTAAAATGATTTTTAAGAGTAGGAGGAGAGATTTATAAAATGAAAACATAAATCATAGTTAAATAAGAATCATATTTTCCATTAAATCACAATTTAAAAATTTACTTAAGTAAAATATGTAGATATCTAATACATATGATATGTAGATTTTTAAAGCATTTTCTTGCAATAATTGGATTGACATTAATTGATAACTGATATATGAATTGAATAACTTAACATAATTAAATTATAATTTAAAATATAGAATTTTCAAAGTGTAAAACTTAAATAAAGATCATATAAACAAAAAAGTATAAAGCCTTTTTTTAACCTCAGTTTGAGAAGATGAAAACTAGTTTGTTTATTTAAAAGTATTTCATAAACTCAACAATAATAACCTGCTTGTAATTAAACAAGAGAGATTATTGATTTTATTGCAAGGGTAGGTGATTGTTGCAGCAGGGAAATTGATTCATATTTTTGTGTGAAAAAGAAGTTCTCTAAGGGCTTCACCTGAGTATTTGCTTATCAATCTCTGCCTTATTGTATTTATCGAATCAAATAATATAAATAGCCATCTCTGTTTACTAGACACTGATAAATTTTAATTTTTAATGTCTGAAATACTTCAATTAATGTCAGCATGACTTCTAATTAATTATTAATATATTTTAAAAGAACACATCCAAACTATGCTGTAATTTTGGATGCTTTACAATTTTATTTTAACCATTAATATATTAATACTATAAAATCTATAACGTACCTGTTTAGAATGAAGAATGTTAAGCATAAATTTAAGTTACAGATATTTTAAAGTTGGGCTTCTAACCTTAATTAGTACTTGGGCAAAATAATAAAATAATGGTAAAACTATAATGAAGTTAGGGTAATATGGAGTGGCAAATTATAACTTTTTTATATTACCTTTGCACATGTCTACATGAAATTGTTAGTTTTTTGAAATATTGTTCCTCCCATTTTACTTAATTTGGCTTAATGAGGTTATCCTTAAAGAATTTAATTTATATTGATATTAATGGTATTAGTAATAATGAGAAAATAAATTAAAACTTTTTTGTCCTTATTTCATAATGTACTAAAAGTAAAACATAATAGCTATGTTTATCAATTAGAAATATTGACTCACTTCCTATCCAGTAGTTTCTTTCTATAATATTCCACTAATCCTTGTTAATTAAAAAACACAGATTTTGGCTTTAACTGTACATTCCTCTAAATAGAATCCTCTAACAAAAATGAAACAAGAAGAATATGCATTTTTTCCAAGAATTTCAATATTTACAAGACAAAGACTTGTATTACAAAGGAATAAAATAAATCCTTGGTTATAAATCAGGCCTCAAGTAGAAAAATAGTCAATAAAAAAAAATAAAACTCTGAATTGTAGTAGTTTTCCATTGGAGCAGTCAATCCAACCCAGGATTTAATTTTAGGGAGGGAGAAGGGACTAACTTTGGTGTCTGGGGGATAAAAATACCTGCTCGGGAAATTTTGGAATGCTTCTGATCTGCATTTTACACACCATTTGAAGTAGTGAATTTATCATACCTATTTTAAGTATTTGTCTGTGACCACTCAATAAAAATCTTTGGTTCAGTCAACAAAAGAGTTTTAAAGAAAACTTACATATTCTGAAAATGATTACTTACATTTTATATTGCGTTCAGTTCCATAATGAAGGAGATGACTTGAGAAGCAAATAATAAATCTCATTTAAATAGAAATTTCTTAAGAAATTCCTTTTTAAAAAATTGTAAAGTTTATTTTAAAAGACTAAGTAATAATATGAAAATACATCAGGAACAGAGATGCAAATTAGTTGATAGAGGGTTTTATGCTTCAAAATATATTCATGCTCATGTATTATTTATATATTGTAATGGCTTTGTAAATTTGCAAAAATAAGTTTTTTTACTTCCTCAGCATCTTTACTAGGTGTTAAAGGTCTGTAAAACACCTCGGGGAGTTTAATGTTCACTTCTATTGGTTCAGCAATGAGATTTTTCAAGAAATATGGAAAGCATATTTCTATGAATTTAATGTATGTGACTCCACACCTTCCATGTTCAAAAAGTGAAATAATCCCAATGTTAAGTTTGTTCAAAAATAGCAATAAGTAATAAGGCAAATGAGTGAGGTGTTCTAGAGACCTACTTTGACACCTGTTAAAGTTTCTTGAGCAGGTAGCAAAAAGTTTTTGCATATTTACAAAGCATCTATACATCAACTCTACAGTTACCCCTACCTCTCATTCGTGCATTTTTTATTTAAGATAAAGAATGACCTTCCTGTATCGCCATCACCCAATGGGTCGGCTGGAAAACACTCTTTCAGAATTTTTACATATGCAAGAGTGTCTAAACAAACACTTGCCAGGTGAAAAGTGGAGGTGAACTCAGAGAAGCTGAGCCTTAGTTCCAATAATGAAGTAATCCCCATTTGCTTTTAAAAAAAAAAAAAAAAAAAAAAAACTTTCAATCACTTTCTTGCTTTTGCATGTTTGGTTGGAGAGCAAAACCTGGATGCCGGAAGGTTAAGATACCATACTCAGCTTTGTTCAGAAGGTATTTGGTCCAACTTTCATTGTAGCAATACCAATGACCTACCAATTCAAGGAGACCTCGACAAAGAAAACAAGAAAGCTACTGAAAAATACAGTTCTAACAACCACACCTTTCCATCGACTCACTTGTCCATCTGATCCTAATGTACATTCATATTACTTATTTTTTCCTCTCTATCTCTAACTAGTATTTTTTAGTTTATACAGTTTAATTTGGTATAGGAAGCATCTTTCGCTCAAGTTGATAGTTTCCAAAATATTTTAGAACAAAATAATGACCTTCAAACCGCTTCCTTCCCTCCACTCAACACCCCACCGGCGGAGACTTTTTATATGTCATATACGACACTTAAATGAATAACTATACCAATATTCAGAGCTTTATATATATATATATATATATATATATATATATATATATATATATATATATATATATATATATATTATTTTCTCTATATTTCCTGGACTACTGTTTAACTCCAGGAAGTTAAGATTTGAGCCTCCGCTAAATCTTTCAATGAATTCAAAATCTCAAATGTTCAAATTTATTTCAAAAGTAAAATTATATATAATGAGCTACCTTATGTTGCATAATTAATCCATATCTGATATCATCCCTTCCATAGCAAACTCTCTCACAAATAAAACACTATTTACTAGCCTCCCCGATTGATTCTTAACGATTCCCTGACGTCTTTGAAAAGGAAATGGCCTTGAAACTTTTCAACATTTAACTGCCATTGCAGTAGTGTATTATCTTCAACTGAAAGTTGTTAATTCAAATAGCATTCCCTTGATGATTAAAAAGCGAATATTTTTTCCTTGTTTACGTTTTGTTTCACTTTATTTGGTGTTCGACATGAATGCAACGATTTTGAAATGAGCGTAGTAATTATGTATAAAAGTATTTTAATTTATTAGTATCTAATAAAGAGGACGCGATGGCCGAGTAAGTTGAGGCATGAGTGATTCTGAACGTTTTGGGTTCGATTCCCATCTGGTCGGTTCATATTTATTTCTTTTCGGTGGTCCCCAAAAATAAATTCCCACTATGGTAAGTACTCGTTGGTAAAAAGGACTATAAGACCCAATTGCGATACTAATTTCTCCACATTAGCAGTACCAGTATTTTGTAATAAACAGAACCTTGATTTGCATGCACTAAAAACCCGTAGGAATTACAATGAAAACGGAATAATATACAATAAAAACATAATAATGCGGTAAAAACTTCTAAACACGTAAGAAGACGGCTGAGATATTAAAATATATTAATTTGCCTGGTTTGATTATGGTTAAAAATGTAATATGAAAAGCATTTTAACAATTAAAATATTAAGGCAACACCAAGTTATATTAGTGTCAAAAGAAAAACAGCACATTGTAGTTAATTGCATATAACTACTCGACAATAT